CAAAGTAAGAAAAGAAAACAACCAAACAAAAAGGAAAAAGAAAACAGAAATGAAAAATAAATAAACAATGTTATATACAATTGTCAGTGTTTTACTTCAAATAATTGTACTCTGATTACCAATTGCCCCCCACTGGCATATGTTGATGCATTACCCTATAGTAATGTGCCGACGCATCCCGTATAAGTCGATAGTTCCTTATTTTGAAAGTTACAATATTGTGTGCTTCTATCCTGGTGTTTGGAGTGCGACCGAGGAGTATTACGTATAGATCTTCTTCGGTGAGCGCACACAGTTCAGCTGACAGTTCAATAGGAAAGGTGTTAATTATGTCACTCCACCAGTTGTTCCGGATGTCCAAAGTGATGAGGCACGAACAGCTGACATGAACAAACAGGTCATGGAATGTAGCCCCGCAGGAATGGCAGATATTCAGTGAATCACGCGGTGGATCGGAAAGGAGTTTGCATATAAACTTGTATAAGCGGATTTCATAACAATTTTTTGGCGTTTGCCAGAAGGGAGATGGATTACTATCACTGAAAACTGCTAGAAACCTCGAAAAATCTATGTTGATTGCCATGCGACGTTGTCTAAGATCCTTCTGTTTTCTGCTGGTTGTGGATCTCACAATGTTTCTCCAAGTAAGTTTGGAAGGGAACACGCCATCAGCTACCCACTCGTGCAAGAATTGAACAAGATCATATGCAAACAGTAATTTAACGACATCTGGAACAAATCCTTGTTGGCAGTTGCTTAGCTTTGCAAGGAAGGAAAATGAACGGACTAAAAATATTTTCTTTGGCAAAAAATTACAGTTCATACGACAGAGACGTCCAAAGAACAAGAGTTTCCTTACGTCTATCTCAGCACTTATTGGAAGGACGTTGAAGAGGCTTTCGCAGATATCGGATCTAGACTGACGTGGAAGGTTCTGTGAAGTCTTACATATAGAATGTTGAAAGACATGAAGACGTTGAGAATCTGTTGCTGATAGATTATTCCACAGTTCGCAGCCGTACAATACGGAAGGCAGGATGACCGATTTGTAGAGGTGAACTAAGGTTAATGGATTAAGGTAAGGAGATCCAATGTCTGTGAGAGCGTAAAAGGAGTTTCTTCCTTTCCTGCAGGCAGCATTTATTCGATCTGTTAAGGAGCAATTTCTGTTTAGAATAATTCCTAAGTGACTACAGGAATCTAGACAGGGAATAGGAACATCACCTAAAGTCCAAATGAGTTGCTGATTAGTTTTATTACCTTTAGCTCGAAATCGAAGAATACAAGATTTGCATGCGTTGAATTTAAAGCGCCATTTCCTGGAATATTCATATGCAACATTTAACATGATTTGTAGAGAGTTGGGGCTTAATCCTATACAAGAGATGTCATCTGCCAGTGAGGGACAATTGCTTGCAACATTGAGTAATTTCGTACATGCTGAGGATTGTTCTAACGTGTTAATCAATTCGTTAATAAATACTAAGTACAAAAATGCAGACAAAACACCGCCCTGTCTTACACCTTGTTGAACAGAAAACCATCTCGACTGTGTTTGGTTAACAATTACAGCACTTGACGTTCTATAATGACAATCATTGATAACAGACCAGAGCCTGCCAGTTATACCTAAATTGTACAATTTGCAAAGAAGACCGTGTCTCCAAACGGTATCAAAGGCTTTGGAGCTGTCTAAAAAACTTACGTAAACATTACTTCCTTGCTCTAAGTAATAATATATGGTTTCTTGTAAATTAAATGATGCGGTTAAGCAGCCTAAATTTTCCTGAAATCCCTGCTGTTGTTTATTTGGAAACAAATGATCAAAAAGGATATGTTTCTTTATTCTACAATTCAATATGCTTTCAAAGATCTTAAGGAAACATGACAGTAAGGCAACCGGTCTGTAGCTATTCGAATTTGTTTTTGGTTTATCTCCTCCTTTGTACAAGGGAACTATAAGTCCTTGCTTCCAGGCCTCTGGTATTTTTCCATGTAGTACAACTGCATTAAATATTTTAGCAAGACATTGACATAACCGGTCCCCACCAAAAATTATGTGTTCGTATGTTATCTGGTCAGGACCCGGTGCTTTCCTTCTTTTGAGTTTGCTAACGAGGAGTGATATCTCTTCTGAAGTGATAGGGCCACCGGGAATATCTCCAGACATCTTTGTACATTCTTCTTCAATGAGCTTATATCTGTTTTCAATATACAGACGGAATTCTTCATCAAATGCATCGTCTTCTGAAAGGGTGTAAATCTGTTCGTAGTGACGTGCAAAGGCTTCAGCTATACCCGCAGTGGAGACAGAAGAAGTTCATCTTCCCTTCGTGTCAGCATCCAGTGTGCGGAAGGTGTGGAAACGTACACCCTAACGTTTTATGTTTCGCGTTTAACCAGAAGTGCTACAGATGTCAAAGAATTGGACATTATTCTAGGATGTGCTTCACGCAGATTAAAGAATCAAAGCCAAAAAGTAAGGGCAAAGGACCGGTTCCTAACAGGAAAAAGACGCGAGACGTGAAACGACTGTGCAAGTATCTCGAAAATAAACGAATTCTGCGAGAATTGCCATTCAGTTTTCTTCGGGATAGTCAGTTTCGTTCAATATGTGATAATTCGTGTGTTCTACGAACTGAGCTGAAAAATCTTAAAATTCAAATATGCAATGCAAATAAAGAGAACCTATGCGTGAATGTTGATCCAAACAAATTAAACTAATTTATTTATTTAGCAGGTATACTTAATTCTAAATATTTCCTATTTTCAAAATCATAACTTTTAAATAAAAATTGCTTATAATTTAGCTAGAAGAATAAAATAAATATTGATTATCATTGATTTATATAAAATTACGTCAGAATTCAAAAACATTAAAATGTGCACCGTCACACACGTGTTAAATATGAATGCCCTATCTTCCCTTCTTCAAAAGTAAGCAGCAAATATCAATATTCGAGTATTCGGGACTACTATTCTATGCGTATTCGAATATTCGTCGATGTTATATTCTAAGTATATCTTTCTAAAATGTTATAATACATGTACTTATACAATTTGCAGACAATAGAATTTTTTTAATACCTATATAATAATATGATTCATAACGATATAGGTACTTGACGTTCAACTGCCTATTGTTTAAAGCTTCTCCTCAAAGTAAATGGAAAACAGATGATATTTTTAGGTGGAGCGGATCTCGCCCTTTTACAGTATAGGCTTTATTTTATCGCGCAAGGTTAGAACTTTGCCCAAAATATGTTCGGAAAATGTGCAATTTTACATACTAAAATATGAAACTATCTTTACATGCTAAATTAGAAAAAAAATTATTTGCAGAAAAATATGGTCGTCACAGTTTGATAGTAAGAATGACATGCCGTAGAAAAAAGTCTTAAGTTCGAAAGTCCACGTCTTGTCACACGTACATGTGAAATATGAAAGCCCTTTCTCATTCAAAAGTTAAGACCAAGATCAAAGTTTTTGTGACAGATAGACGGACAGACTCAGGGATGAATATGAGATTTAATACCCCCTCGCTTTCGCGAAAGCGGGGTACAAAACAGCAAAGATTGTTTTATTATATGATTAAGTAAACCATGCATGTCATCTTTCTTATTAACATTTGCTGATGTCCCAACCTAACGCAGCGAGAGAAATGGGGTTAAACTAAAGACGTTTTAATTAGTTTATTTAGAATTTCATAATTTACTTCTTGTGAGATGTAGAAAAATAAATGTCAGGCATGTAGCATCAATTTAAAAAAAGGGGGATTAGGTATAAGGTAATGAATTTGACAAAAAAGCCGAGTTCTCCAAGCTCCAAATTTTATTTTGTGTATGTGTGTGTGTGGGGGGGGGGGGGGGGGTGTTAGGGTCCAGTAACGCAGGAGGGATTTGACTATACTGTATCAAAAATGAAGGGGGTGGGGTGCAACCTGCCTTTCAATGAACATCTTCATGCTAAAATAATGGTAATAATTTATGTGCAGAAAAAAAAATGTGGGCGGCTTCCTGTAACCCGGCGCCCCCCCTTCAATTCTATGTGCCTTAATGTTATGTTTGCATGTGTGGAAGTCGGGAGCAGATGAAATAACTTGTTAGAACTAATGGTATTAATTTGAAAATTCTCAATCTATTTTTAGACCAATGTAAAAAAAAATCCTTATGTTCACCTGAAAGGTCACATGCAGGTGAGCATAGCGTAGTTTTTTTTCTATAGGTTTGGATCTGAGCCAATCAGAGATCTAGAAATTATTCAATTATATAATAAAATATTTTATTTCATAATGAAAATTTTTTGCAGGTTAATATACCTTTCTTAAATAAAACGAATATAAAATAAATAACTATTTAAAATGAATAACTATTCTTTGGAGTTCACAAAAATCCTGAAATATTTACACACATGTTTTGTTGTTAAGCATGCAATAGGGTGACAAGTAAAGTCAATTAGACTGGGACTCAACTAGACCCTATATTTCGTATGTTTGTTTTTTTCTCACGGTCATTTCCCCCTAATTAAAATAGATGTATCCGGTTCATTTACCAAATGCTGTCAAAAACTTGTATCATTATTAAAATTTACAAAATTTTATTCAATATATTTAGAAAAGAAATATATACCGAATTGGATTGAATAGCAACTAATCTTAATCCTCTCCCAAAATTACTTTGAAATCCTTAACATTTTTGGACAAATAATGAGGAAAAGAAATCTTGCTCGTACTTAACACCCCCAACACGTGATCATCCTTTTTTCCTATATGTATCTTGCAGACAGACAAAAAGGGATTGATCGCACTTCTTTGCAAAGGTAAAGAGGGAAGGATATTCCATTTGTAACTATTTTAACTGAGGTATTCTGGTCAGAAACATGATAACAATGAAGACAATTTTTATAAATGTGGATTAAACAACTAACCACTCTTCACTTTATTTAATGTACATTTTATCTTTACTTTTGAAAGTTAAAATATTATTTAAACTTTACTCCAACTAAAAAGCAATATACACCATAAATAAGACATTTGAACCCAAAAACGTCAAGATAGAAAACGCGGTGAAAACTACATCGCTGCTTTTACCAACATCTGTCCACGTGACCTCGGTCTGATGATGTCCACTATCTGACACCGATTCTGTTACGCCGAACCCATTTCCGATTATGTATTCATCGTACTTGTCTTTGGTAGTGTCATTAGCCTTGTTTCTACATGTTCTGCACAATACAAATCTTGTTATAGCTGCAATACACGAGGGAACTCTGCGAGATTCTGGCATGTGATAAAAATATAACGTTATTATTGTCAACGTCATCACCAGAGCACTCAGAATTAGGTCTGCTAACAGTTTGATGCAAAGCAATGAAAGTTTAGGTTTAGAAACACTTGGCAGATTGTCAGACGCAATTGTTTGAAAAACTGCAATTGCAAGTAACACGGTGATAGAATAACCGACTCTTTCTCCGGACTGAGCAGGAAGAAGGAAGACAAGGATATTGAGCAATCCAACAAACACAATAGGAAGAATCATGTTAATCATGTGAAAGGTGGAAATCCTTTCCATAACTAAAGTAATATTCATTAAAACCAATCCTCTTGTGTCTACGTTGGACAATACCAAGGTGTCAATCAAATCCCATGTGCCATGAGGAGAGTATACGTGCAGACGAACTTTATTATCTAGGGATTTCAGCATGACTTCAGCCGAACTATAGCCCCATACGGCAAAGGACACCAAGCAAGACTGTGTATCATAAGGGTATTTGTAGACATCCGGTGTGCATGATGACGCCCAAATATCCCCTGGATACCATTCTGCCCGACCACTGGCATTGTATCTTATAAAGAAATTGTTATTTCCAAGTCTTTTGAATTCTTTTTGGGGAGAGGCTAAAAAAATGAGGGGTCTCCATACATCCTTTTCATTAAAGATAATAGTGTTTGTATTATTATATTGTGCTGGTGTCCATTTCATCCTGCCGTCTATCCAGAATAAGGCAAAGAAACCTACAAGTGATAATCTTCCATCTAATTCATCAAATTCTGTAATTCGAATCAGATTAAACGTAAAATACAACTTCGTTATTTTTCTCATATCTCGCTCTCCTCGAATCATTTTGTTGTAATTTTTTTGAAGTGTACTATAAAGGCGATTAGAAGCTTCATTTGGTTGTGCAAAGTGAGGATATATTGCTAAAGATAAACATAAAAATATCCGTGTCATAGACAACAGTGCTTGACACTCTGTCATAGTTCCAAATATGATCCTTGTAGTGCCAGTCAATATGACCCACTGATCATTAACCCTATTTACAGGAAATATATATGGATCACAATCAAAGATTCTGTAACTGGATTGTAGCAGCTATGTTCTAATCATTAATGGATGTAAACATGAGTAGTTAATGGATATTGAATTAACAATGAAAACAATGGACAATAGGAGTATTGATGATTCCTCACTTTGACTTTACCCTAGCAAATTTATACTAAAGGAGGAAGTTATCAATAAATTCAGTTATTTTATTGTGCAGAAATGAAACTTTAACATGATATGAACTAACTAAAGATGTAAAATATTTCCACATAATATCGGTCGATCAGGATCAGACTTTTCCTGTCATTTTTAAACTAATAGATTCCACATTCGAATGAAAATACAATGTACATGATAACAAGTACGTACTCTTTATTTGGAGAAATGGCTACAGGCCACAAATTTTACCCCTATTTCATTGACCACGCAAGTAGTGCCAGTTTAAAAATAGAGGTTTTTTCTCAAAAATTCTTGGGCATGTATATGGGGTGGAATCGGGTTATTTTAGGGCATAGATGGAAAGGAGAGGGTCTAAAAAATTATAAAATTGATAATAATTAGAAATTGTGTTTTAAGTGCGTAGTAGGAAGGGTGTAAAGAGGCCCATGTTTACCCTTTCCTCGAAGGAAAAGTGAAATAAGCAGGGTTGGGGTTATTTGCGATGCCATAGCTGGGCTTGTAGACTATGAAATTTCCCGAGAGTCTGAAAATTTTTTTGGACTTGAATTATTCTAACTCTGTGCCAAGATTGAGATAAGTTGATCCGGTGTGATTTTTTAGATTAATTTTTACATTATAAAGGAATGTATAGCAAAAGAATTGGTAGTCTGTGTCCAAGTCTGGGGAAGCTTATGCGATCGTCCATACTGTCAGAGACTTAGGTTGTTCCAAGGATAAATTTTTAAGATGTATAACTACTACCTCGTCCAAAGTCAAATTGAATTCAGATGGCTTTATTCAAGTACATTTTATTTTTTTTGGGGGGGTGTGTCTTTGAGTGTGTGCGATTGTTTTTTTTTTTTTTTTTTTTTTTTTTTTTTTTTTTTTTTTTTTTTTTAAGAAGAAATATCAAGTAAAAATCCTTTCGAACAGATTTCAAGTGAACCATGGTACTTTTTTGGAATTTGAATGATCTGCCCTTGATTTGATTTGAACATAATTATGTTATAATGTAATAAAACATAAATGGACTGGGCAGCAGGCTTTGCCTATGTATAAGCCCTTTCCAAAAGTACATTTGATTTAAGAACCCTCAATACATGCACGCTTAATTAAAGATTTATTTTTATGCAGTTGGAGTGATCTGTCCTTAGATCTAAAGTAAGCTGAAATCTGTACAGTTTATTACTCAATTTGTAATCAATTCCAGCATTTTTATCTGGTCATTAAGCCTGTATAAATTAAAAGAACACTTTATTTGCATAGTACTTTCCCATTTAAGTAGGAAACACCAATACTTCATTGTCTGCGAACATTTACCATGAAGGTTCATGGCCGGTGCCTATGTTGAATACAAGAGAAACTCAATATTTACAGTACTAATGTACTTAAAGATCATATTGTATCGAATTTGAATAAACTGAAAGCTGCGGTTAATACATACATATTGTACATGTAGTTTGTAATCAATATTAATTATTATTAACATCATATTAAACCAAGATAAAGTAAATGGATACGTTACTTGTGCGCGTTTCCCCATTTAAGCAAAAGATTTCTGTTCGTCAATACTCTGTTGTTTTTTAACATTTTTCCTAGAAGACAATAGTTAATTCGATCGGTCAATACAGTCTATCAGTAAAGAATATTAGCATATTTTACAATAGCTACATGTCAAACTCTAAAGGAGTATAAAATTGGGGTGGTATCCCTGATTAAGTATGCCGCAGTTCTACTTGTATACAGAGAAGGATGTATGATACTCATATAAAACTTTATGTAAAATATGCATAATATAACTGTTAAACAATTTGTAGCAATGTTATTAAATATAAAAATATGCAGAGGAGAAAACAAAACTAATACAAATATACATCTGATAAAACTGAAAATTCAGCATACATGTACGTGACATACGAGCAGCTGGATATATTGACAGATACCCTTTGTTGAAAATGTTTAAGGTATGATTTGTTATTTCAATGATTTAATTAATATTTTTATTCTAACTTGATCGTCCATGTTTATAAATACACACGTGTTTTAATAATTTGTAGCGGACAGTATATAAGGAACTTGTACTGTGCTTCTGGTGGTGTGGTAGAGTCTCCCTCTATTTCAGGCGCCCTTGGATGGGCACAATGACTCTGGCCTTTTGTAACCTGTAAGGACTCTAGGGCCAGGACTCTCTGTCCATTTACAGACTTAGTATCTGTAGACGGCATAGATAACCATTACCAAAGAGGCCCGAACACTAAGAGAGAACTCAGGCTAATCTTCGTGACGAAGCTTCCCTTAGCGTGGGAATGTTCTCTTAGAAGGCGTGGGTTCGAATCCCACCGGTACCACCAATTCTAAATCGTGAAGCGGCCACCCATCCAAGGGCTCCACAGACTCTCTGTAGTTTAACCTGTCTGAAATCGAGAGAGACTACCGCATCACTGGAAAAGTGATACTAAGTTCACTATATACTGTCCGCCACTCAGGGAAAGCTTCGTACCGAATCCTGGAATGGCTTCTCTCCTTCGGTACTTGCACTGGAATGGATAGCGCTTTTAAATAATAATCGTTTTTTAGACGTTAATTTATATTATTTACATGAACTACAGTAAATTGATTCAGATTCAATCACAGACGACAGACTGACAAGTGTTCCAAAGCCGGAGATAATAATTAATTATTCTTATTGATCAGAATTCGCAGGATATCACAGTAATAATTGTACAGTAATGTCAGAAGGGCAGTTTATTGTGAAATTTTTAGATTAGGACAGAAGTGAGGTGACGTAAATATATTCTTTGTAGCAAAACACAAGAATGGTCGCATCAAGCGTTTGCCTTTTGTCAAATCAATTTTTTTAATTATAAATTTCTACTAAATATAAGAACTTTATTTAAATCTTTATATTTAATAATAACAATTGTAAATTAATTTAAGCGTCAGAATTTTGGACTTTAAAGATATTCTCAACATTCAAAAAATTTATTGTCATTGAAAATGACTTATAAATGGAACGCATGCAGCGCCTTCCTAATTAATAAGATCTTCAACATGTCAGGTCTTTCGAAGTGTTATCAATTGTACAGCGCCTTGCTGACTTCATATACCATAGTTTTATTGACAACATTTTAATATTTCTAAAATATTACATACACCAAGAATACGATATTTGAACTTATAAAGGTCAATAAAGAAAACACGGCAAAGACAATATCACTGCTTTGACCAACATCTGTCCATGTGACCTCGGTCTGATGATGACCACTATCTGACACCGATTCTGTTACGCCGATCCCTTTTCCGATTATGTATTCATCGTACTTGTCTTTGGTAGTGTCATTAGCCTTGTTTCTGCATGTTCTGCACAACACAAATCTCGTTATAGCTGCAATATACGGGGGAACTCTGCGAGATTCTGGCATGTGATAAAAATATAACGTTATTATTGTCAACGTCATCACCAAAGCACTCAGAATTAGGTCTGCTAACAGTTTGATGCAAAGCAAAGACAGATTAGGCTTAGAAACGCTTGGAAGATTGTCAGACGCGATTGTTTGAAAAACTGCAATTGCAAGTAACACTGTGATGGAGTAACCAACTCTTTCTCCGGACTGAGCAGGAAGAAGGAAGACAAGGATATTGAGCAATCCAACAAACACAATAGGAAGAATCATGTTAATCATGTGAAAGGTGGAAATCCTCTTCAAGAATAAAGTAATCTCTATTAACGTCAGTCCCCGCTCACTGTCGACGCCGGACCTCACTGATGTGTCTATCAAATCCCACATACCATGAGGAGAGTACACGTGCAAACTGATTTTGTCAGATAAAGCAATAGCCGTGACTTCATGTGTGCTATAGCCCCAAATGACGAAGTATATCAAGCAAGACTGTGTATCGTAGGGGTATTTGTACATATCTGGTGTGCATGATGATGCCCAAACATCTCCAGGATACCATTCTGCGCGACCCTCGGGGTAATATCTGATAAAGAAATTGTCATTGTCTCCAAGTCTTTTGAACTTATCATGGGATGAAACTAAAGCAACCAAGGGTCTCCATACTTCCCTTTCCTCAAAAAGAATATTATAAGTGTAATTATATTTTTCTGGTTCCCATTTCATCCTGTAATCAATCCAATTTACAACAAAAAATCCCACCAGTGATAATTTTCCGTTCACTTCGTCGAATTCTGTTATGCGAATCAGATTAAACGAAAAATACAGAGTGGTTAGCTCTCTCATATCTTCCACTCCTCGAATCATTCTGTTGTAGTTTTTCTTGATATCTGCTGATAAGCGGTTGGACGCTTCATTTGGTTGACCAACGCCAAAATAAATTAAACAGGATAGACATAGTATTATCCGTGTTAGGGCCACAAGAACCTGATGGTCCGCCATTTTTTAAATGCGCGTCACCTGCCACTTGGCGCACTAGTCCAGGACACGATATTTCTGTTTAATTCTCTCCAAAGCGTTTAAGATAACCTATTCACAAGGTAATATACTTGTTGTGTGCCTTAAATCTACCCCAAAAACCCCTTCAAATTGTATCATTGGTAAATTAATTAGTCAATACGTAAATCTGTTTCAGTACTTATGTTTAACTGTCCATATTCCGTGACAGCAGATCTATTGACTTGTACTAGTTCAATGTGTTCTGAAATGAAGGTAGTGAAGATTTCGCAATGTTCAAAACTGTCAATCACTGAATTGAAAAAGTAAACAGGAATCTCAGATTGGTTTCAGAAGTAATTACTACAGTATTCACCAATGATGTAGTACAAAATGATGACATATCAGTAACCGCTAATAGATTATTAATTAATTAATCCACGGTGAAAAATTAAAATTCTGAAACCTTATTGCACATCTACAGGACACCATCAATCATATTCCAAAAGATAAGTTGGTTTCTGCAAAAACTGTAAGAGGAGTTCAGAAAAACAGGTTTTTGTAGAAAAACAGGTTTTTGTAGAAAAACATCGTTTTTTTCTACCCCAGTCGTCCCTTAAGGTAAAATCTAAATTCGAATCCCTTATAACGCATCTAGAAGACACTCTCAATCACATTAAAAAATACGAATAGGCTACTGCAAAAAAAAAAAAAAAAAAAAAAATGAAAGAGGAGTTCAAGGAACAGGTTTTTTCAGAAAAAAGACGCTTTTTGACACCCTCCTACGGAGATGGGGGTAGGAGAATCGAAATTCCAAAGCCTTGTTGCATTTCTTAGCACACAATCAATCGTATTCAAAAAGATGGGTTTTACTACTGCAAAAAGAAATGTAAAATTACAACGCCTGTAAAGACGATGGCGACGATAGAGGAAAGCAGCATTTCATTCATTTGAGGCTGCTGCTTGATTTTTTTTAGGTCACCTGAGTCACTCAGGTGACTTATTGCTATCCGTTTTTGTCTGTCGTTGTGCGTTAACATTTGAACATTTTTAGCTTCTTATCTGAAATCGCTCAACCTATTTCAACCAAATTTGGCATATAGCATCTATGGGTGAAGGGGAACAAAAATTGTGAATTTTATGGTCCCTGCACCCCTGTGGCCTGAGGGGTGGGGCTAAAACCACAAAAATTAATGCAATCTTTGAAAATCTTCTTTACTCCTGGACATCAAGCAGTCAAATTGTTGGCATGATTGTATTGAGCCCTCAACCAAAATTGTGAAATTCATGGTCCCATGATCAGGGGTTCTGGAGCTAGAGGTGGGGCTATATGATACATGTATATATAGTGAAAGTGCATTATTTCTTTGAAAATCTTTTTCTCTGCTCCTAAGTATTAAATAAACTAACTAAGTACATAGTTATGATGAGCAAGAGTGCCTGTTCCAAAATTATGAAATTCATGGCCTCGGGGTTAGGGGTTCTGGTGTTATAGAGGGCGCTATTAGTTATATAGTGAAAATGCATTGATGCTTTGAAATTTTCTTCTCTGCTCCTGGGTATTAAATAAACTAATTTAGAGCATAGTTATGATGAGCATGAATGCCTTTTCGAAATTTATGAATTTCATAGCCCCAGGGTCAGGAGTTCTGATGTTAGGGCGGGGCGCTATTGATTATATAGGGAAAATACATTAATTCTTTGAAAATCTTCTCTGCTCCGAGGTATTAAGTAAACTAACTTAATGCGTAGTTATGATTAGCATTGTTGCCTCTTCCAAAATTGTAAATTTCATGCCCCTGGGTCAGTGGTTCTGATGTTGGGGCGGGCCTTCATGATATATATAGTGAAAATGCTTAATTCATTGAAAATCTTCTTCTCTGCTCCTGGATATTAAATAAATTAAGTACATAGATGATGAGCGAGGCTGCCTTTTCAGAATTATGAATTCCATGGCCCCAGGGTCAGGGGTTCTAGTGTTTTGGCAGGACTCCATTGATTATATAGGGAACATTCATAAATTCTTTGAAAATATTCTCTGCTTCTGGGTATTATTTAAACAAAGGAAGTGCATGGTTATGAAAAGAAAGAATGCCTCTTTCAAAATAGTGAAATCCATGACCCCTAAGCAGGGGTTCTGTTGAAGGGGAAGGGAGGGCTCTATCGATTATATAGTGAAATGCATAATTTCTTTCAAAATATATTTTCTACTTCTGGTTACAAAGCAAAGAAACAAGTGTATAGCTATGTTGAGCAAGGGTGCTTCTTCCAGAATTGTGAGTTCATGGCAGCCCCTGGATCAGATGTTCTGGTGTAAGGGTGGAGTTTTATTTATTTGATAATATAGTGAAAATGCATTTCTTTGAAAATCTTCTATGCTTCTGGGCACATTGCCAATTGGGGGCAAACAGTAAAAGTTTTAATAAGCAAGGGTATTTTTACCAGAAATTTGAACACCTGAACCATTTAGTCAAGTGTTCTGGTCCTGACCAGGGCTCTATTAATTTTCATTCTGCTGAGCAAAGTTATTCCCCTTTGCCACTCACCTTTGATAATTAATCACTGTAAATAATGCATTTGAAAGGTTAATAGAATAAGAGAATTATACAAGAATTTTTATTGTATAATACAAAAAGTTCTTTCAGAGTTTAATGATCAGGTAGACTTGGAAATAATAGATGAATAAAAATGAGACAAAAATAACTTATCTTTTTAAATGTACTTCAAAGGCCAAGAGAGGCCAATGTGAGGATAATAATATGGGGTTAAAAAAATATTTTGTTAATAGTCTGCATGGTAATAGTGATAAATGGGCGACAGATAGATACTAGACCAATTATTTTGTTGATCCTAATCACACTATTTTTCTTGCTTTAGGGCAACAAAGCTTCATTTATCAGTTTATGGACCTTCTAAATTGTTGTATTGAATCAGGTGACCGTTAAGGCCCTTGGACCCCTTGATTCTCTCGTCAACTTGAAATAAAGTTTAAACATAACTAGATGCTGTCATGAGACAGTAATACCCGCACTAAGGTGTTTGCCTCTAAATGCACACTCCTTCATATTGGGCTTACCAAGGAAAAAGTCCAAATAATTCTATAATTTACACAGTACATGTATTCGTCAAATCGAGCATAAAATGCTCAGGTGACCATGTGACCCATGAACCTCTTATACGCATTTCATATACTTAATTCATTACCAGTCTGAAATATCAGAATTTAATTAATGTTGTAAATTAGGTTTTAATAAAAAGGGGGGGGGGTATAAATTTTTGGCCCATAATTGGAACTTTTTAAATTTATCTTCTCAACAACAAATAATATTATTTTAGTACAAAGCGTTTTTGATGAATTTATCAAAATGTGCAAACTTTTTTTAGTATTTGATTAGGCAAAAACCTCCTTGAAAAGCCATACCCAATCAATTTATATGTGCCCCCCCCCCCCCCCCCCCCAATACACACACACACAATTTGCCTGTTTTTGGAAATAGGCCTAGATGGCAAAGTTATGTTAAAACATCGTTTGTTATGATAATTTAAAATTTGTTCTTGTACTGTACATGTATGTGAACACCTTTTTGAAAATTTCTACATCACATTGGGCTTGCGTCACCCTACCAGTACTAGTACTAGTTTTACCATTATCATTTTTAGATTGCACATGCCATGTGACATGGTGCAGTGTTACATGTATATCAGTGGAAATTAATTCATTTTGTGTTTTAATTGGATTATATTTCATGAAGTTGACAGGACCTATGACAGTCGGTAAGTACAAGTTTAAGTATAGATTGGGGTAAAATAAACCGAAATGCAAATGGTTAGGTTAAAGTTTAAAAAGGATCAAAGATCATCGGCAATCTCCTATGCAGAGTTGTCGTTCGTTTCTCTCTCAGACACTGAATGTATGAGCCGATCGTAGAGAGTGGATCATCGATGCCACAATAGACGAATTTCACATTCTGAAGAGTTATCTCCCGTTGTCGACATTACATTCAGTTACAGGCATAGATCCGGGAATTTTTTTCCGGGGGGGGGGGGGGTCCACACCTCGGTCCAAAAAAATTCCAGCCCAGAATTTCCTGAGGAGCAAAAAAAAAACAAACAAAAACAAACAAACAAAATAAAAACAATGATGGTGGGGTCCATGTTTTTAAAGGGGGAGGGCATCCAAAGTCATTTTTTATTTGCTTCTGTAAATCAGTATATAGTCCTATTTAAATAACTCTGCAAATTCCGGGGGGGGGGGGGGGGGGGTGGTTCCAATCTCCCTAGCCGCTCCCTGTCCCTGAAATGACAAATGATCATGCGACTCCTAAATAGTAGAAAATTTTTCCATTTGACTATACATAATTTTGTTTCTTGTGCTATTATGTTATGTACATCTAATGGTTTAAGGTTATGAACCCTTGAGGTCATCCCCACTCTCTTGTTCATAATATGACTACATCAAATTAAATAGAAGTGCATCAATGATAAGATTACTTGACATTTCATTCATGAATTTGGGTCAACCTAGAATTAGGAATGAAAATCATTCAAAGAGATGGACCATTAAACTATTTGTATGTATTCACATTTTTTTTTATGTCAAACCAAAGTATTAGACTAGTTTGCATACATGAACAAACTGGGGTCTGGGAAGGGGAAGGGGCAAGGGGAAGGAGTTATCTCTTTACGTCTTAATTAATTGTTGAAAATTCCTAAAATGAATGTTAACCTCAAATCCGACTTGTACGTCTTCATTATTTTTGAGTGGTGGTGTCTCCGTATGAGTGAAAAATTCCCAAGAGGGACATTTAACAACAAACAAACATTAATGACTTAAAAAACACAATATACATGTACATGTTTATTAGTCAACGGATATACTTCTGATCATATCTCTAGTTCTCCCTTGAATCAGAAATGATGATATAAATATTTTAAGAATGATTAAGAGTTGAAAAGGTTGTGCATTTTAAAATTCACTAAGCTCTGTGGTTGAATTAGCTATACCAGTTTAGCTTATTTTGCTACTCAAAGCACCTTGATTAACTATTTTTAATCATACTGTTTTCTGAAATGTGAAGTTTTTTCAACATGGATACAAGTCATACCTTTTCAGCTTCTGAAAACAATTAATGCATGAAAAAAAAAACTGCTTTTCAAATACTGTAACTCTTTCCAAGTACTTGTGATCATCAGTTTTTAGCTCACTTGAGTTTTTCTGGTTTTCTGATCACATTTTGTTTGTCATCCATCTGTCTGCCTGCAAACTTTTCACATTTTTGTCTTCTTCACTAGAACCGCCGGGCCAATTTCAACCAACCCAGCCACAAAGCATCTTTGGGTAAAGGGGATTCAAGTTTGTTCAAGTGAAGGGTCACACCCTCTTTCAAGGGGGGATAATCAAGAATTAGTGAAAATTTGGTGGTATCATTTTAAAAAAGTCTTATCAAGAACCACTGACTGGGCCCAAAAAGTTGAAACTTTCTTTACATAGACAGTGTAGCTTCAAATTTGTTAAAATTATGACCCACTGGGGTAGGATGGGGCCACATATGGGGATCCAATGATTTACATAGAAAAATGCAGGGGATTTTTTCCATCATAAATCTTCTTCTCATGAATAGCAAGGGCATTATCGTCATCCATTTTCGCGAAAGGGACCTAGGGGACATTAAATCTCATTTGTCTGTCAGTCTGTCCGTTTGTCAGTCTGTCCGTCTGTCACAATAAATTTAACCTTGGTCATAACTTCTGAATAATAAGAGATAGGGATTTCATATTTCACATGTACATTACCTACAAGAACTTTCTAAACATACCATGATTTTTGAACCCATGACCTTGACCTTGAAGTTTGACCTACTTTTCAAAAAATTTAACATTATTTCAAATGATCATTTTGAAAGAGAAAAGATAGGGCGTTCATATTATACATGTATATTACCTGTGACAAGACCTTTCTAAATATATCATGACTTTTGACTCTGTGACATTGACCTTGAAGTTTAATCTACTTTTCAAAAATGTTATATTTCCTTATAACTTTTGATTGAGAAGAGATAGGACTTTTATATTTGACATGTACATTACCTGTAACAAGATGTTTCCAAGCATGCTATGATTTTTTACCCCTTGACCTTGATGTTTTACCTAATTTTCAAAAATTTTAACTTTGGTGATTACTTTTGAATGACATATGATAGGGCGTGCATATTTGAAACAATATGTCATAAATAATGGCATCCCATCCACTAGGACACGGAAAGCAGGGGACCACAATTCTTTGAATTTGCTTGTTAGTCATTTTGATATGGAAACATCCTCATATAGTGTAGATTCAAGTTTTTTATGCCCTGCCATGAATATGGCCGAGGCATATAGTGTTTGTCATGTCCGACTTCAATAAAACGTCATATGCTGATACATACTGATGTAAGCTTTTCAACTGCATCAAAATTTTTGACCTTGAATTTTCCTTTGACCTTGACCTTAATTTTCTTAAATTAGTGTCTAGATCAGTTTTGAATAAACAATTCAAGATATATTTATCAAACTTCATATGCTGATATAATTATACTGCTGAGAGATATCAATTGCATCAACTTTTTTGACCTTGACTTTTCCTTTGACCTTGACCTCACTTTTTTAAATTAGTGTTTAGGCCAAACAAAAAAATATGTGTGGTTCCGGTTACACTTCCAAAAAAATTAGGGTAGGTAGGTAGGGATTTTTATTTTTTTAAATTTTTTTTTTTTAACAAAATGATTTTCTTAATTTTTTTTTCTAAATAATACCTATCACTGCTTTGCAAATGGCATTTAGATGTGGTGTGATAATATACTAGTCAATATTGGTAGGGGACACCTACATGCTAGCTTGCTTTGGATTTAACACTATTAAACACTTGCACTATGTTTTGCAAGGAGGCCGTCATTGCTGAAACTAAAACTTAAACTGGAGCCATTGATGGAAATTGGGGGAAATTCCGGAAAAATATGAAAATTGCCAAAAAAAAGTTTAGGGTCGGGGGTATAAAATAGGGAAGGTCGGGTAACCCGAACCACACATATTTTTTTATTTGGCCTTATCTACATTTTAAATAAACCATTTCTGATATTTTTTTTGAACTTCTATGCTAATAGTAAATACATACTGATATAAGTTTTTCAACTGCATCAACATTTTGACCTCAACCTTTCAGTTGACCTTGACCTCTCTTTTCTCAAATAAGTGTTAAGCTCAGTTTTAAATAAATCATTCAAGATATTTTTATCAAACCTAATATGCTGATATGTATTAGTGAGAGCTCTTCCACTGCATCAAAAACTTGAAAATGAAAATTCCGAAACCTTACTGCACATCAACATGACACCACCAACCATCTCCCAAAAGACGATTAGGCTACTGTGTAAAATGTAAGAGGAGTTCTGGGAACCAGGGGTTTTTTGCATAAAAAACGTCATATTTCGACCCTCATTTGACCCCCAGGGTGAAAATGAAAATTCCAAAACCTTACTGCACATCTATAGGACACCACTAACCATCTCCCAGAAGATGATTAGGCTACTGTGTAAAATGTAAGAGGAGTTCTGGGAACCAGGGGCTTTTTGCATAAAAAACGTCATTTTTTGACCCCCATTTGACCCCCAGGGTGAAAATGAAAATTCCGAAACCTTACTGCACATCTGCAGGACACCACTAACCATCTCCCAAAAGATGATTAGGCTACTGTGTAAAATGTAAGAGGAGTTCAGGGAACCAGGGGCTTTTTGCATAAAAAACGTCATTTTTCGACCCCCATTTGACCCCCAGGGTGAAAATGAAAATTCCGAAACCTTACTGCACATCTACAGGACACCACCAACCATCTCCCAAAAGATGATTAGGCTTCTGTGTAAAATGTAAGAGGAGTTCAGGGAACCAGGGGCTTTTTGCATAAAAAACGTCATTTTTCGACCCCCATTTGACCCCCAGGGTGAAAATGAAAATTCCGAAACCTTACTGCACATCTACAGGACACCACCAACCATCTCCCAAAAGACGATTAGGCTACTGTGTAAAATGTAAGAGGAGTTCAGGGAACCAGGGGCTTTTTGCATAAAAAATGTCTTTTTTCGACCCCCATTTGACCCCCAGGGTGAAAATGAAAATTCCAAAACCTTACTGCACATCTACAGGACACCACCAGCCATCTCCCAAAAGATGATTAGGCTACTGTGTAAAATGTAAGAGGAGTTCAGGGAACCAGGGGCTTTTTGCATAAAAAACGTCATTTTTCGACCCCCATTTGACCCCCAGGGTGAACATGAAAATTCCGAAACTTTACTGCACATCTACATGACACCACCAAACACCTCCCAAAAGATGATTAGGCTACTGTGTAAAATGTAAGAGGAGTTTGAGAAATAAGAGTGTGACAGACGGACGGACGGACGGACGGACGGACAGACGGACGGACGGACGGACGGACGGACAGACATGAGTAACAACAATATACCCGAACTTTCTTTAGAAAGTGCGGGTATAATTACCGGTAATCGAAGATTACAATGCTCATTTCAACATATGTTATCTATAGTTAAAGAAAAGTCCCTCACCAAATACACTGTAAATGTTCTGCATGGTAACATGTATCCCCAGATATATCATCCATGCAATTTTGGTCACCATGAGACACATATAGTTACTAGGGAATGGATCTGCTCCAACAAATTAACCTGGCCATTCACTTAGAAAATGTAGGTCAGATCCGGCATCCGAAGCAAATCTGGTAATGTATTCTTACGTACATGATCCTTTGGTTTGGTAATTATAGGGTTTATACTTAATTGGGAATGGACCTACTCCATTAACTTCAAATCTCAACAATTATGCGTCAGATCCAGCATCTGAAGCAAGTCTGCTGGTAGTGGCCATCCCTAAATACATTATCCATGCAAGTTTAAATTTGTCACCTTAGGGATACTTTGGAATAGACCTGCTCCGAAAATTTTGACCTGCTTGTTTATCCAGAAAATGTATGAGCTAATAGTTACTGTACTTGAGGATGAACCTGATCCATAGTTACTGTACTTGAGAAAGAACCTGCTTCAAAAATGTTAACTGGTCACTCATCCAGAAAATATAGGTCAGATGACTCAGATCCAGCATCCGAAACATGTACGGTAGTGTGCATTCTTAGATGTATCTACTATGTGAGGATGGTCTCCATAACACTTATAGCTACTTGGGAATGAGGCTGCCCAAAAACTTTAACCTGGTCAATCAACCAAAAATTTTAGGTTATATCCAGCATTCGAAGTATATCTGGTAGTGTGGGTCTTTATATACATGAGTCATGCAAGTTTGGTCACAATAAGGCTCATAGTTACTAAAAAATGGACTTGCTCCAAAACCTTTATTCAGGATGCCAACGCTAACGCCGACGCCGGGGATATAGCATAACCTCATCTCAACTTCCTCAAGGTGTGACAAAAAAGAGCACATATGCCACAAAACTCACCTGAACCACAATTTTTCTTGACAATGAAATACTGAGTAGTCTGCAATGTACACAGTTTATTATCAAATTTGTAATCAATTCCAGAATTCTTATCATGTCATTATGCCTTTATAAATTAATTAAACACTTTATTTGCATGTTAATTTCCCATTTAAATAGGCAACACCAATACTTCATGGTCTGTGAACATTTTCTCTGGTGGTTCATGGCCGGTGCTCTATGTTGATTATTGAATTAGATAAACTCAATATTTACAGAACTCCTTATGTCCCTAAAAAATTATCGTATATGGAGTGTCCTTAAGGATATCCGATACTCAGCCAAGAAGGATTACTCTTAAATTTATTATTTTATTTAAAAAGTCTCAAAATAAAGCTTGAAATTGAAATCTTTTCATGCAACAATTTTCATTTGATGCATCTTGATATGATTCAAGGTTCTTTGAAGTCTTAGAAACGGTCAGGTAAAAAGTTGACATTTATACCCCATAAAAGATAAAAATTAATTCATTTCTAGAGAAATTGAAGTTCCTTTTGTCTAGCATTAGATACGACTGCTTATTAGCATGATATGAAATTCGATGTGATATGTGATGTCTAGCAATGATAGCACAAACATTTTACATTATGTATCATATGAGAATTGAACTAAAAAGAAGAACTAAAATATTGTATAAGCATAAAAAAGATACAATTTTCTCCAAATGCCTGGATACCTATATTTTTCTAACCCAAATTATATCTGTTAATCAATTTTCAATTAGAAAATGCATAGCTGGTTTTCTTATTCTCATTTCTTGAAAATGTATTTGAGATTTGATAATTTTCCCTATATAATATGATTAACTGTAATGATGAACTTTGAAGAAATTCCATGGGTAAATTCATGTTACTATGTGAAATCAGAGACATTTTTGTGAGCATTTTCAATTACTTAAAAGTTGAATTTCAGAACCTGAGAATTGGACTTCCTTAAATTTGAATAAACTGAAATCTATGGTTCTACATACTTGTAACTTGTAATATATTGAAGTATTTTAACATTTTAAACCAAGATAAAGAATAACTGAATACTCTAGTTAGGTGTTTTCCCACATTTAAGTAAGCAAATAATTTCTATTCATCATACTTTGTTGATTTTTACATTTTTTTCTGGAAGGCAATTTTTTGTTTGTTTGTTTGCTTGTTTGACGTCCCTTTGAGAATTTTCCATTCATATCGAGACGCCACCATTTGCCGGTGTAGGGTTGGAAAGAAAAAGGTATGGTTTCAATTCAAATCTGGCCCTGTATTTTTTCTTAAATATTACAGTGATGTAAGTAATTGAAAATCATGCTTTCTGAATCGTTGAAATCATATGCAGTAAGATCATAGAAACCATTTTATTTTCTCAGAGTATCTTCTAAATTCTATTTGTGACGTTGTGTAATTTTGAATTTTCCTATAATTCTTTTTACAAAGTTCCAGAAGACATCAACTTTCAGTGGAATTTTCTTTCGGATAATAAAGACCACATGCATCATTTTAATGTTTTTTTTTTATGTAAATAACATTTTTCTTAGTTAAAAAAACCTTAAATTGACTCGTTTCAGGTGTACTTTTCCTTAAGAAAATAGTTCCACAGCCGTCGCCCACTTCAATTTTTGTAAATATTGTGTAAAATTCTTTGAAAAATCACATTTGTCAAAACATTTGTGGTCGATGCATGTGGTCTATATTACCTCATTTGAAACCATAGCTTTTTCTTTGCAGCCTTCCACCGGCAATTTTTTTTCGTGCCAGCACTTACTGCGACATCCATAATTAACACACACACAAAAAAAGATTTCCTTAATGTTCCTAAATACATTTCTTATTGCATTGAAAATGAAATATAAATTGATCGCATGCAGCAAATTTTGCCTCCATAATTAATAAATTCTTTATCAGGTAATGTCTTTCGTATTACTATTATTAACAATTGTACAGCGTCTCATTGGCTTCATACACATTTAGTTAGACGACGCTTCTGATAAGTAACATTGCAGGCAGAGACTTATTGACAAAATTTTTAAATTTTTAAAACACTGCATAGACCAAAAATACGATATTTGACCCTATAAAGGTCAATAAAGAAAACACAGCAAAGACAATATCACTGCTTTTACCAACATCTGTCCATGTGACCTCAGTCTGATGGTGACCACTGTTTGACACAGATTCTTTCATGACGATTCCATTTCCGATTATGTGTTCGTCGTACTTGTCTTTGGTAGTGTCATTAGCCTTGTTTCTACAACATGTTCTGCACAACACAAATCTAGTTATAGCTGCAATACACGAAGGAACTCTGCGAGATTCTGGCATGTGATAAAAATATAACGTTATTATTGTCAACGTCATCACCAAAGCACTCAGAATTAGGTCTGCTAACAGTTTAATGCAAAGCAAAGACAGATTAGGCTTAGAAACGCTTGGAAGATTGTCAGACGCGATTGTTTGAAAAACTGCAATGGCAAGTAACACTGTGATGGAGTAACCAACTCTTTCTCCGGACTGAGCAGGAAGAAGGAAGACAAGGATATTGAGCAATCCAACAAACACAATAGGAAGAATCATGTTAATCATGTGAAAGGTGGAAATCCTCTTCAAGAATAAAGTAATCTCTATTAACGTCAGTCCCCGTTCACTGTCGATGCCGGACTTCACTGATGTGTCTATCAAATCCCACATACCATGAGAAGAGTACACGTGCAAACTGATTTTGTCGGATAAAGCAATAGCCGTGACTTCTTGTGTGCTATAGCCCCAAATGACAAAGGATATCAAGCAAGACTGTGTATCGTAGGGGTATTTGTACATATCTGGTGTGCATGATGATGCCCAAATATCTCCAGGATACCATTCTGCGCGACCCTCGTTGTTATATCTAATAAAGAAATTGTCATCGTCCCCAAGTCTTTTGAACTCATCTTGGGGTGAAGCTAAAACAACTAGGGGTCTCCATACTTCCTTTTCCTCAAAAAGAATATTATAAGTGTAATTATATTTTTCTGGTTCCCATTTCATCCTGTAATCAATCCAATATACAACAAAATATCCCACTACTGATAGTTTTCCGTTCACTTCGTCAAATTCCGCAATGCGAATCAGATTAAACGAAAAATACAGAGGGGTAAGCTCTCTCATATCTTCTACTCCTCGAATCATTTTGTTGTAGTTTTTCTTGATATCTGCTGATAAGCGGTTGGAGGCTTCGTTCGGTTGACTAACACCACAATAAATTAAACAGGATAGACATAGTGTTATCCGTGTCAGGACTACAAGAACCTGATGGTCCGCCATTTCATAAACGCGAGTCACTGTCCAAAGAGACGCACTAGTCCAGAACGCGATGTCATTTTCTCCTTATAATTCACTCTAAGGCGTTTAAAGATACCACCTATTCACAAGGGGTATGAATAGAAATCAGCTAATGTCACTTCTTGTAGAGTACATTATATGTATCTCCAATAAAAAAAAAGTAAAAACAAAACACTTAATACATAAAATTGTATAATTGGTTAATTAATTTATCATAGAATAGATTAACCTGTTTCAGAACCAATATATCAAAATGTCCACATTCCGTGACAGCAGAACTATAATTGACTTTTACCACCTCAGAGTGAACTGAAGCGAAGCGAAGGTAGGATTTCGCAATGTTCCAAACTGTCAATCACTGAATTGAATAAACAGAAATCTCAGATTGGTATCAGAATTTAACACTACAGTAATTTACCAATGATGAGTAGAACAAAATAATAACATCAGTAATAATTAATGGATTTTTATAATTTTAATTACAGTTAAACTCCGATGCAAAACAATGTCTTCGTATCAAGTATTTCATATAATATTTTTGATTAGGGTACATATTAACCATCTGTTAAATTTTCAAATTAAAAATACTGCCCTTAGATTTACAATAAAATAAAATGAAATGTACAGCGTGGTACTCATTTTGTAATCAATTCAAGCTTGAGGCTAAGAGAAATCAATAGTTCAATTGATTTATAATAATTATTATAATAATTATGCATTTATTTCCCCCATTTAAGTATAAGCAACATTGATTTCTGCTAATCAATACTTAATTGTCTTTTAACATTTTTTTCCTGCGAGTAAATAACTGGTAGCCTATGTTAAAAGTAAAATAATTAATCTGAGTATAAAATTTTTTTTCTAAATGTCCAAAACATTTATTGGTTTATAGAGAATCCATAACCTACTCATGTTGAGTTATTAATATCGTCTTCTAATCTCGTTACATTTTGGTTTATGGATACAGCACTGCGTGAACTTCAGTAATTTAATGGGTATAACGATCCCTACGTGTCAATACTCTCCTTAGATTTCAAACTCATAATATAAAGTCATGAAAGAGAAAAATAACAACGCCTATGAAGACGATAATGCAGGTGATAGCCACGATTAGAGGAGTGTAGCTTTTGATTCCTCTGGGGTTGCTGCTCGATTTTTTCTCGTCAACCTGAAAAAAAAGTTAAAACAAAACAAAGATCACGAAGCTCACCTTGACAAATGTTATCTACAAGTAAAGTCTCTCAAAAAATAAATATTCTGGTAACTCGCACTCTTACGTGCATCTTCCTTTGGTTTAGTAATCATAGGGTTTATACTTATTTGGGAATGGACCTGCTCCAAAAAACTTAAAATCTCGTCAATTTTGAGTCGAATCCAGTGCTCATCTGAAGCAAGTCTGCTTGGTAATGTCCATCCCTAAATGCATCATCTATGCATGATTTGAGATACTTTGGAATACTTCGTAAACCTGGTCATTCAACATGTTGATAATGTACTTCAGATCCAACATCCGAAGCAAGTTTGGTAGTGCATACCTTTAGTAGATGTGTCATCCATGGAAGTTTGGTAACCTTAGAGCTAATACACGTAGTCACTTGAGAATGAAACTGCTCCAAAAATGTTAACTGGATGGTCACTCATACAGAAAAAATAGGTCAAATCCAGCATCCGAAGCATGTCTCGTTGTGTGCATTCCAAGATGCATCTACCATGCAAGTTGGGTCTCTATAAGGCTTATAATTACTGGGGAATGGACCTGCCTAAACACTTTAACCTGGTCATTCATCCAAAATTTATAGGTTTGATCCAGCATCCGAAGCATATCTGGTAGTGTGCGTCTTTAGATGCATCAACCATGCCAGTTTGGTCACCATAGGGCTCACAGTAGATTCGTCGAGGTGAGCTAAGAGGCCCATATGCGACAACGCTCACCTGAAGCACAATTTTCTTCTTGACAAATGAATATGTCAATGTAGGTGTAGTAAAATTCTGTCATCTCATAATTGAAATCCGTCATTAAAACAGTTTTAATGTACAGTAAACCGAGGCTCAAGATTATAGGACGCCCAGAATCCAGAAAAAGTGAGATTCTATCCTACCTTTTTATGCCCCCGGATCGAAAGATCCCGGGGGTATATTGTTTTTATCCTGTCTGTCTGTTTGTCTGTTTACCTGTCTGTCTGTTTATCTGTCTGTCTGTTGTCAACTTTAACCTTGCCCATAACTTTTGTTTGGTTGGAGCTATGACTTTTATATTTCACATGTGTATTCCTTGTGACAAGACCTTTCTTTGGGTACCATCGTATTTGACCTTTTGACCTTGACCTTGGAGTGTGACCCACTTTTGCAAAATTTTATGAGACTTTAACCTTGGTCATAACTTCTGAACAGTTGGTGTTTGGGGTTTCAAACATCACATGTTTATTCTTTGTGACAAGGCCTTCCTTTGGATACCAACAACTTTGACCTTTTGACCTTGACCTTGGAGTTTGATCTACTTTTGAAAAACTTTAACCTTGGCCATAACTTTTGAATGGTTGGTGCTAGGGCTTTCATACTTTACATATGTAATTCTTGTGACAAGACCTTCCTTTGGATACCAACAACTTTGACCTTGACCTTGATGTTTTACTTACTTTTAAAAAACTTTAGCCTTCGCCATAACTTTTGAACAGTTGCAGCTAGGGCTTTCAAATTTAACATTTTTCATCTTTTGGCTTGGATTTTGACTTGCATTTGAGAAACTTTAACCTTCGCCATAGGCTGCCATACGGGGGCATCAGTGTTTCACAAACACATCTTGTTTCTTGCTGTTTTAATAAAATAGGTGAAGATAACGAACAGTCATTTATCTAAAAAAAAAAAAAAAAAAAAAAAAAAAAAAAAAAAAAAAAACTACAAATAATACAAGTATGTGAACATGCAGGGGATGAAATATAACGACCAGTATTCAATCTCGAAAGTCCAATGAAAGGATACAAATTTGGAGCAGAGCAAACACGGACCTCAAAATTTAGAAATGGGATCTGGCTCCGGGGTCATAAAACTTAGAGGAGCTAACTTTTGATCTCAGTCTCACTTTTCCACTAATAATTCCTTTTGTAAAAGTGAGACTGGGATCAAAAGTGAGCTTGTCTAAGTTTTATGGCCCCGGAACCAGGTGTCATGGAGGAGTGAGCATCCCCTGCCGACCGGTCATACCTGCCGTGTGCTCTTTGTCATGATCGGGGGAAAAACCCGGTAAAATCCGTAGAAAGTTCAGTGTATAAATAATGGCCTAACAATTAGTATAAAAACGTCAGTTAGCATTTAACTCAATGATAGGTTGTATGTGCTGAGAAGGTCATTGTATCGACTATAAAACTTGCAAAATGATGACTTCAAACGAGACTGTTGATATCCTTGTTTCATCAACTTGTTTGTCAATAGCTTGCCTCGTTTTAGAAATTGTTCCTACGTAGAGCATGCTCTTGCGTATCTAATCAACTGAGAGATATAAACCCATATGCAGGTGATAATGGTATATCGCTACATAAGTAAGGGAAGTTGACGATTGAAAAGTTGAAGTCATCACGGATCCCTGGAAATTCAAGAGGTGAGATCAAGTGCCTAGAAGTAAGCATAACCTGTCGTCCGGTCACATGATAGAAAAAATTGAGGTCATCTCGTTTGCCATACAGTTTAGTACAAAAACCATATATATGAGAGACGCTTATTATGTATAGCCGAGAATATCACGCCTTACTGAAAGTTCAAGCAGAAATGGTATTTGTACTAGTTGTTAGTTTGTCCGTATCGTCTATAGTCAGTGAAACATCCAAGTATGAAATAGATGTGTAGTGTCTTATCAGGTTCAAATTAATTTGTTACATGGTAAACGTAGAGTAGAGTAGATTTCTATTTATATCGGGGGATTTTATTTTTTCTTGTTTTTGTATTGAATTCCAATATAGTTACATAAACGTACTGAGTACATAGATTTTGGGAGACAGAAAGAAATAAGGCTAGTTTGATATGGAGTAATAAATAACTTTTGCAGATTTCTATACCATGTCAAGTTATTTTTGAGTATCCCATTTCCTTAATATCAGCTTTACAAATTGTAATCTTATTGTTCCGTGCAAAAAAAAAAATGTTTTTCAGTGGTAAACTAATGTTTCCAGTTGTTGAATGCTTAAGGCCTAGTCGACAGTATTTCAACCACATTTCGGCGCCCTGATCGTATACGTTGATCAAACTTTAATCTACAGTAACCGAGATTGCTGAAAAATCATATTTTAGTCCTTCTCTTCTTGAGAAGAAAAATTTTAACAAAACTTTGACTCTCTTCGGCCCTACCCTAGCTCCGGGATCCGGGTTATATACTAATATGCCTACTTGTAGAGTCTTTCTTTTCTTGAGAAGAAGAATCTTTGAATATTTTTACCTATATATTACTAAGAAAATTTAATTTCTTTATTGTGAACTAACCCTAGACAAGGGGTATTTTGGTAAGAAGCCCCCTCCCCCCCCCCCTCCCCCCCCCCGTGAAACGGAAAAAGCTTTGGCATGAATTTGATAAATAACAATTTAAAATACCTGTAAAAGGGATTTTTTGTTACAAGGAGTGTGGGGGTGGGGGTGGGGTGAAAATATATTCCGTTTTTCATTGATTTCTATAGTAAACAAGATGTGTTTGTGAAACACTGATGCCCCCGAATGGCAGCTTATGTCGAAGGTTAAAGTTTCTCAAATGCAAGTCAAAATCCAGGCCAAAAGATAAAACATGTTGATACCCAAAGAAAGGTCTTGTCTCGAGGAATATACCTGTGAAATTTTAAAGGCCTAGCTGCAACTGTTCAAAAGTTATGGCGAAGGTTAAAGTTTTTTAAATAAAAGTCAAACGTCAAGGTCAAAGTTGTTGGTATCCAAAGGAAGATCTTGTCACAAGAATTACATATGTGAAGTATGAAAGCCCTAGCACCAACGGTTCAAAAGTTATGAACAAGGTTAAAGTTTTTCGAAAGTAGGTCAAACTCCTAGGTCAAGGTAAAAGGGTCAAAGTGGTTGGTACCCAAAGGAAGGTCTTGTCATCTTGTCACAAGGATTACATATGTGAAGAATGAAAGCCCTAGCACCAACCATTCAAAAGTTATGGCCAAGGTTAAAGTTTTTCAAAAGTAGGTCAAACTCCTATGTCACAGTCAAAAGGTCAAAGTGGTTGGTATCCAAAGGAAGGTGATGTCACAAGGATTACACCTGTGAAGTATGAAATCCCTAGCATGAACCATTCAAAAGTTATGGCCAAGGTTAAAGTTTTTCAAAAGTAGGTCAAACTCCTAGGTCAAGGTCAAAAGGTCAAAGTGGTTGGTATCCAAACAAAGGTCTTGTCACAAGGATTACATATGTGAAGTATGAAAGCCCTAGCTCCAACCATTCAAAAGTTTTGGCCAAGGTTAAAGTTCTTCAAAAGTAGGTTAAACTCCTAGGTCAAGGTCAAAGGGTCAAAGGGGGTGATATCCAGAGGAAGGTCTTGTCGCAAGGAATACACATGTGATGTTTGAAACCCCAAGCACCAACTGTTCAGAAGTTATGACCAAGGTTAAAGTCTCATAGAATTTTGCAAAATTGGGTCAAACTCCAAGGTCAAGGTCAAAAGGTCAAATATGATGGTTCCCAAAGAAAGGTCTTGTCACAAGGAATACACATGTGAAATATAAAAGTCATAGCTCCAACCAAACAAAAGTTATGGGCAAGGTTAAAGTTGACAACAGACAGACAAACAGACAAACGGACAAACAGATAAACAGACAAACAGACAGACAGGACATAAACAATATACCCCCGGGATCTTTCGATCTGGGGGCATAAAAATAATGTTTAACCAAATTATAGAGTTATCTCACTTTTTTCCAAATAAGTTATGTTTAATGTGAAAATTCATGTAAATATTTATATTAATATTAAATCTCAAATGAATATATGTTAACTTTTGACAAGTGACTTTGAGGTAGGCGACAGAGCAATGTTTTCGTTTGCAATTATCTGTCTTTCGGTCCACTGATTGGACCAATTTCTTCCCTCATGAAAGACAAAAGAAATCAAATCGGGAGTATACAATATTGTTCAAAACACTCATCTGTTTCATCTTAAGATTATCGATGTCATGAAACAATGTTACATAATAGAAGGCAGTTGTTATTTTAGCGAAAGCTGGCTTTTACCAGAAAAATAGCTGAGGCTTAAAACGACCATATACAGAGTGTTCGCAAAGAAAATTCCCTTACATATATCAATTTGTAAACATTATTGCTTTATAAGGTCGAACTGTTTTAGCAATGTTGAAAGATCTGAAATATTGCTACGCTGACGGAATCCAGATCATTTCTACCATGTTTGGTGACTTGACTTGCCTGTTGTCACCTCGGATAAACATTGCCTTAGTACACAAACAACAAAATATTCAGGTTCTGCTCAGGTGAGCTAAATATCAAGCACAAAAAATATTCACTTTACCTTCAGACGTTGATCTCCATTATTGATTTTGTTTTGTTGCAGAATGGCTTGAGTTTCTCTAAGTCTTTCGATCTTTATGCTGTCATCTGGCGCAAGGTCTTCCAGGAATATGGTTACATTTACATTGGCCGAAGCTTTCATATTACAATACGTCTGATTACATGTCCAATTCCACGAAAATGGAAAACTGACAATACGTCATATGACTTAATTTTGGCATTAGCAGAACTTTCAAGAAAAGAGAGTCGCAAGAAGTTTTTTTTTTCAGACTTCTGTCGATATCTTCTGGCACATCCTGTATAAGTGTGTCGCCATGTACTATAAAATCTGCAATATTTCTGGCGTTACAATAATGTGTAAAATGTGCTTTCATTGATTGTCATTTTCAGTCCGTGAATCATGGATCATTCTTAAGATATCATTTCCATTGGCCATCACTATCAAAGTTCCCCAATAACGTCCTAGGTGCATTGATTGAGGTTGAAGAAGTAAGAATTCCATTATGTAGCAGTTTCACTGTTTCAGGCACTTTGGTTTCCCAGGGGTGAAAATGATAATGCTTTTATGTGTAACGACCGCTTTAAATCACTAGAAGGAAATTATACACTTTCATTAACTTTTATTGTAACCTTAAGTGGCATGTTATGATCTGTATAAATCAAAATTAAAGGAATACGATTGCCTTTCAGATCTACTTCTCTTCATCAATAACAGGGAAGCAGATTAAGGAAAGAATTTCGTAGGGATGGGTATCGGCAAAAATTTCGTATCGTGATATATCACGATTTTTCCCCAAAAATATCACGATAAATTGTGATATTTTTACACACAATTTTTACTACAATTTCAAATGAATTTCCATAATATTTCTTTAAAATATGCTATAAAAACATAACTTTACTTTTTAAATTTTCAGATATTTTATATAAAGCATGTTTTGATGCCGTTGTTTAACTGTTTTCAACATTTTTTACACTTCTTGTAATTGTCATTCAATGGTTTGAACAGATAAATGAATAATTTCCGGAATTTATAGTTACGTACCAAATACCGGTATTATAGTCTCCGTATCACGATAAGTATCACCAATAAAAAATCGTGATATATCGGTATACCGATAAAATCGCGCATCCCTAGAATTTCGACTTTATTTATTTAAACAACATTTTTGTGAAGGATTGGGTTTAGAGGGGCGTAGGAAATACGCCACACCATAATGCAATGTTTATGAAATCCATTGGAAATCTACAAAATTCAACAGGCACCCCCTATAGCACACACGAAACCTTATCACGACGTGGTAGAATAACAATAGGAAGATTAGGAACTACAAAGGGATACACAGAAATGTGTTGAGTCTGCATAATGTAAACTTTGATATTTCTTGTGTTATTATTTACGCGAAAAAATTATGAGCAAGAACAATACGCATGGGGTAAGCGATACTGGGATTAAAATATTATTGAAAGTAAACAACTTTTAACAAGTCTAAAGGTGTTGGAGAGCAATATAATTAAATTAACCCCACTTGTAAATTTCCGCGTTTACAGTACATGTGTATTTCTTCTTCACTTTTTGTATACAGGAAACGTTTACAATTATTGCGATCTATACAGACCGAGCTTAAAGGGACATACCCCCCCCCCAAAAAAAAAACAATGCAAGATAAACTATGTCAACGTGCGAGAAAGGTATGTAAATATGCAAAATAATTTACCTAATTGCAGAAAAAAATCTTTAGGCCTTGTTCACATAATTTTTTAAGTATTACTTTGATAATATAGAATGATACTGTCATTTAACTTTAATGTCTCTGCTAACACATTCTGACCTTGGCCAGCCTTTTTTGTGCGTTCGATAAAAAATGAAGATGTGACTTCATTATTAGAAACCACTTGATCAACATGATCACGAAATACAAAAGGAAATCGGGAGTACAGTTTGTTACAAGGAATGTTTAATCTTTTCTTGGGCGGAATTCTACCATTGGTAAAATGATCGAATTTCGGACTTTGACATCGGTCAATTTCGTAATTTTGTTCTATAATCACTTTCATATTTCTTGGAACTGGAAGACACATGCCATTAAATAAACGGTAAGCCAGCGGAAATATATCACTCTTGAAAAATACGAAACGTCCTCGGTATTGTGGAACCGTATCCCAAATGTGAGTTTTATTTTCATCATAAAAGAAGACGTCGACAAACGGCCATTGATTATCATTTTTTCTGAACACTTTCCATTGTGTTGACATCTCTCCCCAAACACTGAGGGAATGAAGCATTTCAGATTCCAGAATGCGTCGCAGTCTTCGTTTGACCTTTGAACTAACAATGACGTCAACATCATCGTCCCACGGTATTTTACCGTGATGGCGGTATGTTCCCAGCAGCGAACCTCCATACAGCATGAATGGAATATTTTCCTTTTTGCAAATTGTAATAAAAGAATGAAGTAATAAGTTTAGATTCTCTAATTTCTTTTCCGTAAAAAATGATAAAATGGTCGTATCATTTGTAACATCTGTCCTTTGAATTTTGTTTGCATTGCTTTGGATATTTTTATTGATTTTCGAAGCGAGGCACAATTCTCTTCTCTGCAACTGAAATCCTGAGCATGAATTAACAGTCACGCTGTCACAGTGTTTAAGGCTATGTGTCATCTCAATAAAGGGTTCTTTTCTTCGTGAAGGATGAAGGGATCTGTATCCGAGGAGCCATTTCACAATAATAAAGATCAGAACAAAACAGCCACTAATTTTACAGAATTTACTCCTCATATTAAAACACAATCTCGTTACTGACCTTCAGAAGGAAGGCAAAGTATGCACATGAATATCATTTTTTCTAATATCCCCAGTGTCATGAGTGCGCAACCGTACGTTTATCTCGTAGGCCTAATGGCAGCTAAGACAATTAAGGAGAGCTAGGATGCTGCATGTCTAATAAATTTAATGCATCTGGTTTGTTTATCTTATGAAAATTAAGTGTTACATGTTCAGCTAGTAAGACGAAGAACATGGTCCGAGACATATAGTAACACTTTCGGTAATATTTTCTGTATTTTACTCATATCAACATTATACAATAATTGCTGTTTCTGCGGTCGATACGATGATTGCACTCCTTAAATCATTGTATTGACTGTTAAAAAAAAAGAATGAAATATGTCCATAGGAAGTAAATGCCCCGTCCAGGGGTGGTTAAGAATACAACAAGAAAAGAAATTTACCTTGCTTCTTTGTTTCAGATTAGGGTAATTGATTAATAGTAAGGTCAAGGTCACAGGGAAGATTTTGACACAGTTGAATAGCTCTTACCAATTTAAATGTATTATGGAAAGAGTTTGATGAAAATAACCTGAATAGAACTGTTTTAAAATAAGAACAATAAATAGTCATGTCAAAGGTCATAGGGAAGGTCAAGTTAATAAAATTGGGCACAGTTGGTATGTTCTCATAAGTATGTATCAGTACATGTTTAGAATAAAGATACTGTATCTATAATTATTATAGTAGGACTGGGTATCGGTTGAAAATTTCGTATTTGCGATATATTACGATATTTGGAACTGTATTGCGATATGTATTGCAATATTTTAAATAAAAATTAAAATGCTTTTTATGTCCCCGTGTCGAAGATTCGAGGGTATATAGTTTTTGCCTTGTCCGTCCGTCTGTCTGTTTGTCACTAAAACTTTAACACTGCTCATAACTTTTGATTGGTTGGAATTATGGCTTTCATATTTCACATGTGTATTCCTTGTGACAAGACATTTCTTTGGGTACCATCATATTTGACCTTTTGACCTTGAACTTTGACCCAGTTTTACAAAATTTTACCCAACTTTAACCTTGGCCATAACTTTTGAACAGTTGGTACTAGGGCTTCCTTACTTCACATGTGTAATCCTTGTGACAAGACCTTCCTTTGGATACCACCAAATTTGACACTTTGACCTTGACCTAGGAGTTTTACCTACTTTTGAAAAACCTTCACCTTGGCCATAACTTTTGAACGGATGGTGCTAGGGATTTCATACTTCACATAATTATGTAATCCTTGTGACAAGACCTTCCTCTGGATACCAACAACATTGACCCTTTGACATTGACCTTGGAGTTTAACCTACTTTTGGAAAATTTTAACCTTGGCCATAACTTTTGAACGGTTGGTTCTAGGGCTTTCATTCTTCACATGTGTATTTCTTGTGGCAAGACCTTCCATTAGATACCAACAATTGTAACTCATTGACCTTGATCTTGGAGTTTGACTTCTTTTGAAAAACTTGAACCTTAGCCCTAACTTTTGAACAGTTTATGGTAGGGCTTTCATACTTCACGTATGTAATTCGTGTGACAAGACCTTACTTTTGATACTAACAACTTTGATTTTAGAGTTTGACCTACTTTAGGAAAACTTTAACCGTGGCCATATCTTTCGGAGGTTGGTGCTAAGGCTTTCATACTTCACATTTGTATTCCTTGTGAGAGAGCTTTTCCTCTGGCACTATTAATTTTGACCTTGATGTTTGGCTTACTTTTGAAAAACTTAAACCTTTTTCCATATCTTTTCAATGGTTGCTGCTAGGGCTTTCATATTTCACAGGTATACTCCTCGGGACAAAACCTTACTTTGGGTTCCAACATATTTGATTTGCATTTGAAAAAGTTTAACCTTTAATAAGTTGCCATACGGGGGCATCAATGTTTCACAAACACATCTTGTTTCTTATTTTATTAACCTCCATTTATAAACAGAGTGTATAAAACTTTTGTAAATACGTTGTAACAGAAAAGTTCTAGTTGATTTCACTACAGTTTGGCAACGAAATGCAACAATACAACAGAAACCTTTATCGTTCGGTACTATTTGGCGCGACTGAAAACGTTTCTGACATCTTAAATTTCATATTTCACTTCATAAATCTAAAGCCAAATCATTTTGCCAGTATATCGGTGATTTTTTGGTAAAGAATTTATACCAATGAGACCTGTTTGTTTTGTCAAAGTGAAAATCACATACTAAGAAATATCGGTGGATAAACGTAACGCAGTACGGTATTTTTTGTAAACGAATCGCAATATACCTGAATATCGATATTATTGCGCAGCCCTAGGCCTATTTAATAGTTTGTGTGAAACATAAAAACAGCAATAATTGTTTAACTACACTGCTCGTATATAATCAAAAATAACATGGCACAAACTCGGTAAGCAAATCTTTCCATCCGATTCTTTCTTGTTGAAGTACTTGCCGAACGCACTGAGAAGCAAGGTATGTGTACCTGTATATAAACAAGACCAGTTCTATTAATTAAACTGGAATTTTCTCACCAATTTTTGAGGGTGATGCAGGAAAAAAATAATGATTTCTTAACCTGAATGTCGGGTGTTATCAATTTATGATAACCAATCTAATCAACGTTTTGTTTGTTTGTTGTTGTTTTTTTGTCCAATACGTGTAGAAGAAAATAAATGTTATGTTCATTGGGTGTAGGTAAAATTATAACATTTCATAAATATAATTGTATTAATCTGGAAGTTTTGAACTTTTTTAGACCAATGCAGAAAAAAATAATGTTAAATTATTTTCACCTTGTAAGTTTGGTGCAGGTGAACATAACTTAGAGTGATTTCCACAATGATGGATCTCAGCCAATCCAGAGAGCTAGAAATTATTCTATGGCACGCCGATTGCTTCAAAATTATTTTCTGCACGACCTTCACTTCAAAAGTTTTGAACTTTTTTAGACCAATGCAGAAAAAAATAATGTTAAATTATTTTCACCTTGTAAGTTTGGTGCAGGTGAACATAACTTAGAGTGATTTCCACAATGATGGATCTCAGCCAATCCAGAGAGCTAGAAATTATTCTATGGCACGCCGATTGCTTCAAAATTATTTTCTGCACGACCTTAATTAAACAAAAATTACACGAGTAAGTAAAAACTTACACAAAGTGAGGAAAATATACACGAAGTTATTGAAATTTACACAAACTATTGAAGAACTGCACAATCAACAAAATATTTACACGATATAGTGAGAAAATTACACAAACATAAAAACGAAAACTGCACGAGTGAGAATACAACATCGACATAATACGCAACGCATCCTCATTGCGCACATTTCATTAATATTCATTAGAAAACGGGTCAATGTAGCTTGGATGCTTGAAACACACTATAAATACAAAAGGAGGAGTAAAGTGTTAGTAATCTTTTTAAAAAAGATTCTTTTAAATTTCGCTAGACTCTCAAGAATATGTACAACATATATTATACATGTAGATAAATTGACAGGCACACAATCTTAAACTTGTAGTATATGAATACTCCCGAATAAAAAAAAACATTCTACAAAGAATACATGTATAGATAACGTAAAAAAAGGGGGGGGGTGCATATTACAGTTGTGTGTTTAATTGTTGGATTTTTTTTAGTAGGTCATTCCTCTATATAGCAATTTCTTTTGAAAGTTTAAAACGATGACATATAGGCCTAAATTAAAATAAATAAAAACAACATGTGATATAATACAGGAGAGTTAACAACAAATCAAACTCTTAAAACTAAATCAACTACAGATATTCCTCCTTTACAATACACATCTGCATCTGGTGATGTCAATTTTGCTTTTTCTGATGTAGATAAGATAACAGTACTTAACAATTATTTTGCTTCAGTTACCCGTGTTGATGATGATAAGTCTGATTTACCTAAAGAAATTACTAAGTGTGATAGTGTTTTTGACAATATTTCTATTTGTGAACAAGAAGTGTTTGATATTTTATCTATATTACCTGTTAACAAAGCCATTGGAGAAGACTGTATTAGTCATAAAATGTTAAAATCAACAAAACTTACTGTTGTCAAACCTCTATGTTTACTGTTTAATCGCTCATTGAAAGACTGTGTTTTTCCTCAAAAATGGAAATTAGCTAATGTTATTCCTCTCTTTAAAAAAGACGATCCAGCTGTTTTGTCAAACTATAGACCTATTTCATTGTTAAGTTGTGTTGGTAAAGTCATGGAACGTATTGTATTTAAACACTTGTATAACTACTTTCATTGTAATAATATTTTTTACAAATACCAGGCTGGTTTCTTGCCTGGTCATTCTACGGTTTATCAATTGTTAGAAACATACGATAATATTGTTAGAAATATTGATGATGGTAAATCCAGTTGTATGATTTTTTGTGACTTATCTAAGGCCTTTGACCGTGTCTGGCACAAAGGGCTCTTGTTTAAGCTAAACATGTATGGCATAGAGAGTAATATGTACTTTTGGTTAAAAAGTTATTTAGAAAATAGAACACAAAGAGTTATTTACAAAAATTTGGTATCCCCTTCGGCTTCCTTATATGCCGGCGTTCCACAAGGATCTGTATTAGGTCCATTATTATTTTTAATTTATGTAAATGATGTATCTGACAAGATGTCAAGCTTTTGTAGATTATTCGCTGATGATAACAGTTTGCAGTACGCATCTAAATGTGTTAAATCTATAGAAAGTAATCTGAATAATGATCTTTTATCTCTTGAAGAGTGGTCAAACAAATGGTTACTAAAATTTAATCCATCCAAAACTAAGGTTGTATTTTTTAGCACAAGAAAAAACATAGAACCTCCCAAACTCCTATTCCAAGATAGCCAATCAGAATATGTTCAAACTCATAAA